ACATTGATTTCCATTTTGTTAGAGACCGGGTAGCAGCCAAGTCCCTGACCATTGCCTTCATAAGCTCAAAAGATCAACTAGCGGATGTGCTTACAAAACCATTGGTAGCTGACAGATTCTTCAAACTCAGATCGAGTCTCAATGTCGTTGACACTCCCTTGGACATGAGGGAGCGTATCAATACAAAGCACTCTGCCACCTCATTGAAAGAAGAAATGGACACATCAGCAACAAATATAGCACCTGAACCGTAGCATAATTGTACAGAATGCTGAGTAGTAACAGTAGAAAAAATTGTTATATTTTCTCTCCAGTCATAACTGTTTTTTATTCCTTACATTTGTGTATAAATTCACTCATCAATGAAGTAGAAAAGTGCTTCTGAATTCAGCCAAATATGAAATTCTATTACATGGCAGTAAATACAATTGTACAATCGATATTTGCTGCCATGAACATTGTGAATGATAGATTGCACAATCGAATTGGAGATGAGTGGATGAATATAGTCTTATTGTTTATGTGGAGAAGGATATATTCTTAAAGATTGATAATGNATCTACGGATTTTATTATTTAATTTGTTAGAATATTAATTTAACTAAATAATAGATATTGACATATATATATGCATCGATTATATATATATATATATATTCGAAATATTTATATCCAAAGTTGATTGGATTTAGGGCATAGCACTTACAGGTTGTTGTAGAAAATGAGTTTTTTGAGTTGAAGTTGCTTTCAAACATAAATCGAATGTTCTATATGTACTTTTTCTTTCATGATATTTCAAAATAAAAAAGAAATGTAAAAATGTTGTATTTTTGGAGAAGCTATAGTCTAAGAAACCAAGATATTTAGGTAGTAGTTTTATATTAAACGACTTGAAATATAACTTAGTCTTTTACATGCGCTTCTTGACTAAATGTAAGAAGGATATTCTTTTAGATTTCATTAGGTTTGGGCAAGTCCAGTTCGATTCGGTTTTAAAGAAAATCGAATCAAACCCGAAGTTTCAGGTATTTTGTAAATGGAACTATCGGGTCCAAATTTAATTATGGAACCGTTCAAGTTCGGTTTAGTTAGGTTTGTTTCGGTTCTATTCGGTTCCTGGGTTCCGTATAATAATTAAATTATTTTATATTACAACAATGTTACATTGACATATTCAATTTTAACTTTTAAAAAATAACGTGGTCCAATATCGTGATATCCTTTGCACTTTTTCTTGTTGGGTTCTTCATAAATTTGACTATTAAAATCACAGAAAGAAAAAGATGGCGAGTTCACAATAATAGAACAATAGAAATGACACTACGGTACCATAAGATATTTGAATAAAACTTATGTCAATTTGATTAAATTGGGCCTGACTTGAAATTAGAAATAATAAAGTCATATTTTGGGTTTGGACTAAATCATGAGTTAGCAAATTTATTTTAAAAAATAA